GCTCCGCTCCGTTTGAATGTCCCAGCGCCCCGTCCGCTTCCGGGGCAGCGGCGCCTACGGGCCGCGGCGGGGCCCAGAAGGACTCAGCGCGAAGCGCTCGCTCCGCGTCCTCCGCGATAGGGTGGGCAGAGGGATCCGAGGCGGGGGCTCGGGTGTCCCAGGCGGGGGCTCGAGTGTCCCAGGCGGGGGCTTGGGTGTCCTAGCCCCGCTCCCTGCGCTAGACGCAGGTCCCCCCGGTCTCCGGGGGGACGGGGCAGCCTTGGGCTCCTCTCGGCCAGGCACAGCGTGTGAGGGTGGGAGCCCACCGCGGGCTGAGCTGGGCCATCGCGGGGACATGGGAGGCAGGAGGTGCTGCCACCCAACCCGGACTGACCCCAGCCTGCCAGGTTTGCAGCCACCGGGATCCCTGAGGGGTTTTGGCAGCCACCTGCTTCCAGCCGGAACCTCCTGGGATGGACTGCCCCAGCATAAGGCCAGCGCTCCAGCATCAGCCAAATTTGTAGCCAGCTCAGTGAAAAAAGCACAGGTTAGCTGATCTGATATTGTCAGGATCTGAGTCTGGTGTTGTCCCTGAGGAAACTCACAGCTTTGCAAGCACCTGTACCTCCAAAAGCCCCATGGGGAAACGTCCTTCAGCACCTACGTGGCTTCAACTGCACCTCAGAGAAGAGATCTCCAGGATCCTGTTCTCTGAACTCTTTGGGATCCTGTTCTCTGAACTCTTTGGGATCCTGTTCTCTGAACTCTTTGGGATCCCGTTCCCTGAGCTCTTCCTGCTCCCCTGGCACTGGAAGTTGGGCAGCAGGCAAAATACTGATCCCCTGTTCACCCACGCAACAGCACACCAGGGAGGGACCAGCCCTTGGTGCTGAGCAGCAGTGGCCTGACCTCCTCCAGGATAAGTCAGAGCCTATGGATGACTATTAAAGCATGAGACCAGAGTCAAGAGCTGGCACTTCTATTACCTCCTCTTTCTGTGACCACAGACCTCTCACAAGGCTTTATAGGAGAGTCAGACCCAGGCTCTGGCTGACTGGGAGTATGTGGTTTGGCCACCCTGCTGTTACCTGCAAACTCAGGTTGTGTTTGCCAAAGAATTTCAACGAGAAGAAAATCTGGAGAGCAATAAACTGTCCTCATGGCACCCCCAGTCAATCCCAGTTGAGTTTTCTGCCTGGAGAATCCCCTCAGTAGATGGAGGAAGGATCCAAAGGGACCTGAACTGGTGTCACCAAGCAGGGGAAAGGCTCTGTTTAGTCTTCATTTTGGCAGGAACATCTGAGCAGGCATCCGTGCTGCCCCTTCACTTAGGATGGGGAAGATGCCAGCCCCATGGTCCTTATTCTTCATCCTACATCCTGCAGATCAGTGTGCACATTGCTTGGTAGCAGTCACCTCTAGAGGCCATGAGGCCACATCTGCTCAGGGTGCAGCATCACCTGTGGCTGCCAAACACAACCTGGCCCCTCAGCCATTCCCACAGCCAGCACTGCTGAGCTTCCACGAAGCTGTGGCAAGCCCAGACCATTCCAGCTCCAGCCCTCGGGTGGGTCGAGGGAGCTGCCCTGAGAAAGTACCGGGCTTTTGCTGTGGACCGAGGGCAGCAAGCACAGACCTGCCTGCACAAGGACAGTCACATCCGCCCCAGCGCCAGCATGCCACCAGCAAAGGCAGCGTCTCATTTGCACAAACCATGCGGAGCCAGCAGCCTCTGCCCACGATCTGCTGGCACTGATGCCAGCTCATCAGCAGCCCCACCCTGGCAGCTCCGGCCACCTCAAGGAGGAGAGTGAGGACTCAGCTCTGTCCTGGCATGGCTGGGAGGCAGTGAGTTGCCCCATGCTGGCCAAGAGCAAGAGACCAGCCATCCTCTGAGCAGAGCCAGCAGTCACACAGCAGCTACTCCCACGGGACCCAAAGAGAGAGGGGGAGACCATTTCTGCTGGAGCTGGCCCCATGGGTAGCATGGCCACATGGGATCACGTCAGGCCACATGGGTCAGAGGGAGGATGTGTGCTCCCCTGCTTCTTCCTGCTCTCCTGGCTCCTGATAAAGCAAGTTGTTTGGCACCTGCTCTGTGAAGGCAGGGTGGTGGCACATCCCCAGCTGTTCAGGGCTGACCCACGCCATCCATTCAGGCTCCTTTGCTGCATGGGGGAGAGCAGGGATGGGGTGGGGAGACCCAGGGCCTCCAGCCCCACTGTCCCCCTGCATGTACCAGCCAGGTGGGAGCAGCAGCTCCTCTCCATGTTGCTGAGTCATGCTGTGTCTCTGTTCTTCACTCCAGTGGGGATGAAGCTGAGCCAGGAGCTTGGCCAGGCTGCCCCCTGCACCAGGTGGTGCCACCAACAGCAGTGGCTTCAGCATGCCCTGGTCCTTCCACAGATGGGAGAGGAAGGGGGAGGATTCGGTGTTTGGTGGTGCCGCTGCTGGCAGTGGGGCCATGGCTTGCAGTGATATCAGGTGTGGTGAGGAGAAGGATATGGTCCCACGGCTGGATGCCTCTGTCACCCTCACCTCCTGCCTCCATTGGGGCCCTGCTGCACAAGGGGCCATGATCTCCAGCAGGTCAGCAGAGCATTTCTCAGCCCTGTTCTCCTGGTAGCAGACAGGGATTTGGAAATCTGGTCTGCTCCATGGGACAGGGCCTGTGTTTGTGCTCTCTTTCGCTCTACCTCATCACTGGCCCAAATAAATGAGAGTTACAGCAAATCTGTGTCTCCTTCCCAGTATCCCATGGGCAGACAGAAGATTCTGAGTGGCTGGGACCAGCAGCATCCCCATTCTTCACACCCTTTGGAAGAGGTCACGTGCAGACATTACAGCAAGCTGGTGCCTCTAGCAGAATCTCAAACACAATCCCTCCCAGGTAAGGGCTAGACTGCTTCAGTCTCACCTTTGGCTTCATCTTCCATTCACACCATCCTTGTGGCTGCTGAACAGAAGGGAACCATTGCCTCACTGCTGCTTCCATGACTCTCCATGGCATCTTATGGGCTTTCTAAAAGGAAAAGGTCCCTGAGCAGATTTTTCCCCTGCAGTCTCACTTCCTGGGGTCCTGTAGCAGCAAGCCCAGCCCAGTGCCCTGGCTTGCTTTCCCACAGCACAGGATTATCTCACCATCTTCCCCCGGGCAGTAACTGGTAGCTGCTTCCCAACTTGGAGGCTGGAACGTGTTGCAGCACCTCAGCCAAGGTGAGAGCACCACATGGCTCCTTGGCTGGGAGCTCCTCACTTACGAAGGCTTTGGCTCCTCTGCCTGTGGTTTCAGTGAGCAGTGAGGGCCCGCCCGGCACTCGTTTGCATCAGTGTTAATCAGGAGTGACTGGCCAAGGGGCTGGAGCCACCCCGAGATGACTCAGCAGGGGGGACCCTGGATGGGAGCAGAACGGTTCCTCTGACACTTCCATCCGCTTCCTGCAGCCCACCCAGCGTGAACTGAGGCTGCACATGGAAATGCCACCCCTGCAAACCCAAGTGTCACCTCTCCCAGTATTTCAGATTGCAGGCCATAGCAGAAAGCAGCAAGGTGCTCTGCCTCTACCTCCCTGCTGTTGTCTGCAGGAAAGACCCAGAGGGCACAAGGATGTGCTCAAAGGCAAAGTGGAGCTGCGAGTTTGCTCTGGAGCCTCTGAGCACCCTTAGAAATGTCTTGATTGCAGCAGCAGCACCCAGCGTTAAGCCTGAGTATGTCTCCTTTTGACATCTCTCAGGCACTGGGAGTCATCTGGGCACTTGGCCGGAGGGCATAAGCCATGCTCAGAGAGGATAAAGGGGAGTGCGACAGATTTATTACCATAAATAAGCTAAAAACCATCTCTCTCCCCACTAGATATCATCTGCTGTGTCACAACACATGTGGTCTTGCCCCATCCGTCCTTCAGCTTCTCCAGTCTTCTCCTGAGCCCTCCATACCTCTGGTTGGGAAACATGCCACCCAAGATCAGGACTGATGGGTTCCCATCACCTTCATTGCCTAGAGGAACATCTGCAACTCACCCCAGGCAGCTGACAAGGTCTGGCTTGGCTTTGTTTGTCCAGTCAAGGAAGAAAGAACTAGACCCCAGCAAAGAGGGACAGGCAGACAAGAAGCAGGTGAAGGAGGCAGCGGAGGAAGGAGGTGAGAAGCCAGGGTAGGAGCAGGGTTAGTGTCTTGCAACTGATGTAATTGAGGCCACCTGGATTTGTCTTTTGGATACCTTTAAGTCTCTTCCTCAGTAGTTCTGCCTGTCATAATGGTCAAATCTCTTTTATAACATATCCCTCAGTTTTCAGTGTGGAAGGCCTTCCAGTGGCACGACTGAGCCTCTCACAGGAGCTCAAACTGGCTATGGATGACACCAAAGTTCCACAGGTCACATCAGGAAACTTGGGAATGGAGCTGCCCTGCACTTACTGAGATTGTGGGCAGCAGGGCCGGGGGACAGAGTGGGTCAGGGCACATGGGGCAAGGGATGTGCAGTGTGTTCCCTTCTAATGCTCCCAGGGAGGTGGAAAAGATACTTTCCAGGAAGGCAGGAACTAAGGAACCACACAGCTATGCAGCGTGGTGGGGACTCACCTCACAAGCCCTCATCTCCGCCTTGCATCTCCCACTCCACATACCAGGATGAGATTGAAACAGCCCCCATGGGGACCACTTTGCAGACGGGTGATGAGTGGGGACAGCACACCGAGGGGAGGTGGGGGCAGTGCTCCAGTGGGACCAGGGGCCGAAGGGTCGGTGGGCACATCCCAGCAGCTCAGTGAAGGCAGGCGGGGGCTGCTGCTGGCCCCGCTGCGTCTGGCTGGCGGGGCACTGAATGAGAGCGTAACTTATCAGTATTACCTCATGTGAAAGCTCGGTGCCTTTGTATCTCAAGCAAACACCGGCCATTATGCCCCAGCAGGCCGGCATTGTTATTCTGTCTGGTTGCTAAAGGTTAGTGCTGTGGAGCCCTGCACGTCCACAGCGGCTGCCGTGGGGTGGCAGCGGGGCCACCGTGACCCCCTGCAGCCAGCAGCGCTCCCCGGCCACAGGAGCAGCCACCTCAGCTGTTCCCAGGCATGGCCAAAACCCAGCCAGACCCTTATCAACACAAGGCTGCCCCACCATTCGTGGTGCTGAAATCTTCCTCTTCCAGTGCCAGCCCCCTTGCTGCAGCCAGGGTCATTCAATGCTCCTCAACTGGCACCTGTACAAACTCCCTCCCAAAAAGGGAAAAAAAGAGGCAAAAAGCCCAAACTACTTCAGTGGAATCACAGTGGGATTACTTCCTTTTAGGAAGTCAAAGGCTTGACCACCAGCACCGTCAAGACCAGCACAGGTTTGGCTCTCTGCATCCCAACACTCCCCAGGGGTTTCCCACAGCCAGGGGCTCCAGGGAGACACTCAGGAAGCCCAAAAGTCTTGTCCTGAAGAACCAATGCCAAAAGGGACTTCCCATCACCTGGAGTGGGTTCCCAGGAAGCCAGTTCAGAGGAGCTGGAGGGTGTTTGTGTCTGGCAGGGGGACTGCAAGGGAGCTGCTGCTGATGGCTTTTTTGAGGATGACGGGGGTTTGCACAGCCAAACCAGGTGGAAGAGGCTCCTGCCAAGCCAGGACGTGCTGCCGCCACAGCCGTGGGGCCAGTGAGGACCTGTCGCCAGGCCTGGGTGTGCACATAGCGCAGGAGGGCTCAGATATCCATCCCCCTGAGGCAGTGGTGGCATCTGTCTGCACCACTGCGATGGAGATTCCCTGGATACAGCCTGGGGGTCCATCCCCACAGGCCTGTGGGATTCTTTCTCAGGATCTGCACACAACATGGCTCCCTGCAGGCACAAATGTGATATCAATAACCCATTCTGTGGCCTTTCTGCCTTTTTGGGCCTTTTTGCCCTTTGGGCAGTTCCTAGTCTCAAAGGGAAACTCAGTGCCAAAACCAACAAGGCTGGGATGGTGCTGGAACCCTGAAGCTGTGGATAAAACACTGCTAGACCCCCATTTCTGGGGGGAAGGCATCTGAAAAAAGGAAGACACAGACGACTGTGGCATTTAGTTTGGAAAATCCCAGCAACCTGCCCCTACATCAGCTGCAGAGCTGAGGCTGCCAGGAGCTGGAGGCAGTACAATTCATATCCTCTGAGGACTGATGCAGAGGGAGGCTCATGGTGTGGAGTCACCCGTGCGTTAGAATTGCTTAATTTTATTGACATTCAACAAAACCCTGAGACACTGTGTTCCTGCCCCCACCAGAGCAGTGAGGCATCCCAGCTCCGGAGCACAGATATTCCATTATAGCCCTGGGAAAAACACCCAGAATATCAGGAGGAAACTGTAGAATCCTAGGAAGTCCAGGAGAAGTGGCAAATCCCAAAAGGCAAAGCCCTGGGGGAAAAATACACTGTGCCTGTCAGAATATCAGCACTTCACTGGCAAAGACCTATGAGTCTCTGACCAGGGCTTGTTCTCTTTTCCTCAGCTTTGCCAGCCTGGGAGGTTTTGGGAGGGGTCAGAGAAGCCCTCTTGGTCTCTAACCCTTGCAGCACATGCAACTCAGTTATTGACAGACCCATCAGGGCAGCTCTGTGGGGTGTCTCCCCATCACCATCCCAGTTTGGGAAGGGGGGATATTGGCCATGCCTGTATCCTCAGGCAGAGCCCTCTTCCAGACCCAAAGGAAACAGGGGAAAGTGCAAAATCACGTAGTGTTTCCTGTAATGCCTCATTCAGCAGCAGCAGCCAAAACAAACACCAGGAATGTTCAAACAGGCCAGAATCTCCATCAGTGTTTCACACAGCACCCCAGGAGCATCACACCCACTGTGTAGACCCACCCCATCCCCATACCAACCTGGTGGCTGCTGGGGCTGGGGGCTAGTAGTGGCCAGGTTTGAGCTGCTGGACAGTGCTCCTGACTCAGGGGCTACAGTTATTCCCCAGAAAAAGTTCCTTTAAAGCATCCTCAGGAGGCACATCACCACAGAGGGGGTACCAGATAGTCCTCTGCCTGCACCAGAGGCTGCTCATCCAACCCAATAATCAAAATTGAAATCTCTTTTCAAACTGCTTCTCACTGAGCTGACTATCATCAGACTCCTAGAGAGGTACTTTAAAACCTGTAAAAAAAAGAAAATCAACTGTAAAAATCTCGTGTTGCAGCACATCAAACCCTTGCTGACATTCTCTTGGTGAACACAGCACACATTATATTCCTGGGGACTGCTAGTTGGTAACTCTGCTGGAGGGCAAGTAGCTCCTTTATCCTAATGGCTGCTCCATCTTTGTACCTCCACCTTTGTACCTCCTCCATCCCACCGCCTGGGACAGTCCTTAACCAACAACTCCTTCAGTTGGCTGCTGGTTAGGGGAAAACATCAGCCACTCTGGCATCACCATCACATGCACTCAGCCTTCTGATGTCTCTTTTTTGCAAAGGGATTGGCAAATCAAATCAGCTGAAAATCCTCATCCTAAGGTTATCCATCTCTTGGTCAGGAAATGCTTTCCTGGCCCAAGGCAGCAGAAGAGACATAAATCTGGCCAGTGATTTCCCAAATCAATAAGAAATGTGCTTCCTAAGGATAAGTGAGTTGAAGAAAATGGAGATGGATCACTGTCTGTTCACTGCTACAGTAGCAGCTTACTTCAGACTTGAGTCCACATTTCTATCCTATAAACTTTCTTGACATCATCCTCCAGAAGGTGCCTGGAACCTAGCTCCTAATTTCAGCCAGGAGAGCCAGGGCCCCACTGCTGCCCAGCAGAATGCAGCCTCACCCACAGACATTTCTCACCCCTTCCTTGTGATGTGGCCAGAACACTCCATGTTACTGTCACACATATCCCCATGACCAATCTCCTCCCACTCTCCAAATCATGCTGGCACTGGTCATACTTTGATGAATCCCTCTCCATCCTCAGACAGGGGATATGTGTGCCCTCTCACACACACAATACAGTCCCTGCTCCCTTCCCCACTCCCTCAGTGGGGTGGGGCTCACCCCACTTCACCAAGATCCAGCAGCATCTCCCCATTTTTATCCCCACAGCAGCCCATTCCCCATAATCTGGGTTCAACGCTGGTATTTCTCAGGGACAGGCCAGCCCTGGTGCCCCTTCTCTCCTCCTGGCTCTCTTTGGGCCCCTGGGTGAAATGGGGAGGGCTGTCACCCCCTCCAGCCCACCCCAAAGGTCTCCATTCCTCCTTGTGCAGCTGTGCAGGATCCTCTTTGCTCTCCAGTGCCTGGGAAAGACCCCTGTGAGCCCAGCCCTATCTCTTTTTCACTTCTCATTCTCCACACATGCCCTGAGTCTGTCAGTTCTCATCCTGGGTGGTCATTCCACAGGGCTGTGCACTAATGAAGGCCCATCCCATTAAGGGTTAAAAGCTTTCAGGCCCC